AATGGTTTACCTTTTCCCATGTCGAGAAACTGAAGCAAAGAAATTAAGTAACACATATAGAAAGGCTCCACCACAGGCAGAAATGCATTTATAATGCAAGTCTCGCTCAAAGACAGTTCTTAAACAACAGACCTTCAACCACCCATCACAGTTTATTTTTGTGCTAGATGTTGGTGTACCCCAGGAACTGTATTTTTTTCATCATCAGATATCATTGGAAATTCCCTGAAGGGGTTATTATTCTTTCTGATGGATAGTACCACTATTGGATTTCTCAGCAGAAGTACTGAAATACAGACAGTGACTGAGGATGTGTGAGAAGTATTTTAATTTGGCTTCTCCCTTCTTCTAATGCATTTCAGCAGCAAGCTGCTAATTTTCAAGGGATTGGTAAGACCACCAAAGAAAATATGTGAAACTTTGTCAAATTTCTACAGGAGAAAAAGGTTGTTAGTTTGTTTGTTTGGAGGGAGCACTGGTCATTCGTACAACTTCATATTGTTTTACTGCTCCTACTGCTTTGCTACTTTCCTTCTCCTCGAGGAGGAGGCTCAGCAGAAGTGGCTTTAGATTAACTCTTTGCAATCTCACAGAAATCTACAGAAATGGTTTTGGCCATTTTTTTGAGACAAGAACTTTCACAAGTCTGCTTGTGGCTACTAGAAGCTTTAGGGATGAGGACCACACAATGCATTTTGCAGCGTTAATTTCCAAAGGTCTGTGTGAATCACAGCAAAGGCATTAGTACTGTGTAAGTGTACTCAATAATTGATGCAAACAGTTAAAGTGGTGACACAACAGGAAGCAAAGTGGTGATTTAACCTTCCTTTCCCAGTACAGGGAACACCAGCAGCTCAGCAGATTACTATGGAAAGGGCAGGTGTTTTTGTCATGACTCTACAACAGCTTGTGCCAGGTTAGGTGCATCTGTGCTTTTCTGTGCCCACCCTGCAGACAAGGTGCTGCCAGATAACTGTATGGGGAATAAAAAGGGGTCATGTCACAGGCACCAACACTCTGGGCATCTGCCAGCTTATGTAGTGAGGTAGAAATATTAGCAAACACATGGGCAAAGAGTCCATTATGAAAATAAAGGGCATGGGAGAGCACAGAAACAGTGAGTTTACAGGCTGTGCAGAAAAGAAATGGGAGGGAAGAGGTGGGATTCTCATCCAAGGGAGAGATATTCACCGTGACAAAAATAATTTGGAGAGGTGTTAAGCTCAGTTAAAAGGCAGCCCTTTCAAAGTACTTTCAGAGTTATTTTCAGCTGTGAGCAAAGCAGAGGAATATTGCCACTGGGTAGAAATTGCTGCCAAACAATGGTTGGTGGAAAGGATGCCTACTGCTGAGCCCCAGTCCGCTTCAGATCACTTTCGGACTGCTCCTTTCTTTGTTGTAAGGCCCCATTACAGCAATAACCACTGCAAAGCATGGGCAGCATCCCATCCTGGTCCTCCATGCCAAGGTGGCAAGGATTGGAGGCCTCTAAGGCCCCAAGGGCTGAGGCCCCAGGTTGCGTAATAGCACGAGGAGGGCACATCCTATCTTAGGCCATGGCATTAAGAAGTCCCTATTTGTGCACAAAAACTAGGAGTGTGAGCAAAGTGGTTTCAGTTAGGTCCTCATGGAATGGGATAATCCTACCAGGCGTGAAGCTCAGTGAGACGTCCTGCCAGCTGGAAAGTCAGAAGACAGATCCTGCAGAGCCGCACAACCATGGCAAGGAATGCAGGTAAGACTAAACAGCTT